ACATGCCGCATATTTTGTAGCCCAATTCAAAATATGTGCTCGCGTTCTCATTACATATGCAAAAAGCATTCCTTTCTTATGTTTCGCCTTTCTTTGCGATTCGCATAAGTTCAAGTAGTGCTAAACAATTTTTATAGTTTTTTAGCGTGTCATGTGAGAGCGTGTGTGAAAGAGAAGAGGAAGTGGGAGAGAGAAAGAAAAATACATGAGTGGAAGTGTAAAAGATGCAGCTCCTTGTAATAATTATAGAACCATATTTAAGTAGAACACTTATAACAATACGAAAAGTGATATGTAAGTTCGCCTTTGAAGACAATTCTTGTTTCTATCCGCGTGTCTGCCTCAAATGATACCATTAATCCAGAAGTGCTACTAATTAACTTTCAACTACAGCTCAAAATATAATTGAAAGCAGCATCAAATGTGCCAACTGAAGCAACGTGGCCCAAGTTGATTAGTGTGTGCACAAAAACAACAAAAACACCTTCGGTACAAACCAAATCCAAAACGAAAGCAAGGAGCATTCATCTTTGCCAATTTGCATTTGCAGTGGCAGCAACCACAGTCAAATGCCATATAAGCCGCCCACCTATTCACCTCCACCTCTCCGTTCAATTGGGGCTGCCATAGACATGGCCACAGACATGGGCATAGTCATAGGCTTAGTATGCGACCTGGGTTCGGGGACATTTTCGGGCACACTCTGCTAATTAGCTGGAGGTTGGCGCGTTGAATGTGGGTTAACAGCATGGCAAGCAGCAGAACGCAAATATTGTCAGGGCAACACGTTCAAGAACTGAGCCACGAATGCAGTTTGCCATCAAATTAATTAAGACAAGAATGTGAGCCGGCCAAAAACCAAAGCAAAACGCGAGCAGTGCCAACTGCAATTAAGCACATAAGGCAAAAGCCCCAAAAAGTTTTGGGATAAGGGCAAGGCGAGTGGCTGTAGTCTAATTAGGGATTATGAGGCGGTGACAAGCACAACTAATTGAGAGCCAAAACTCTTGAAGCCACACAGCGGACTGGACCACACACGTCACAGCCAAACATTTTGGAGGACAACAAACGGCAACAAATTGACCTGCAACATGTTGAACAACGACCATAAAGACCAACAACAGCCACAGCAACAACCACTTGAAACGCCGAAAAGAAACATGTTGATTGCTCTATCCGAAAAATTAATTGGACCACACACGAAGCGAACAGCACCACCACCGTCATCACACAGAAGACAGCAAGCAGCACCACTTGATGCTGGAAAGAGAAGGCGCTGGGCACGTGCAACAGTGTCTTATTAGTGCGAGCGGAAGAGGGCGACAACTACTACTACTCGTAGACATCGCATCGTGGTTCGGGTGGGTGTCATATATATTTTAATGACCGCTCTGGCTCTGGGTTGCCCTGGGCTTCCAAGTGCGGGCCACATCGATGGATTTTTGATAACCAGAGGCGAGCGAATGAAATGGCAAAAAATTGAGAAAAAATAAAAAGGAAACCGAAAAGCTGGCGCGAATGACTGCATAAATCCATGTGAAATGCAGCAACCAAGTGACTCCCTGGCTGACTGACTGACTGACTAACCGACTCCCTGACTAGCTGTCGTCTGTTGTTGGACGGGTCTATCTTAAAGATTTGCCTGCTCTGCCGCACCCAGCAACTCGCGCGCCCCGAGTGAATGGCATCGGCCCTGACTCCAGATCTGCCGAGCTGTCGTCGTTAGGCAGCAAATGCAAATGAGTTTTCGCATATGTAGGTCTCCTGGGTGTCACTCTTAACCCTATTTCCAGTGCGGCTCATAAACGAGAGCGACGACGACGACGACGACGACGTCGACAACGTTGACAATGGGTGGCCAGTCCGTAGGAACTCACCAAGCTCTCAGTCTGTCTGTCTACCTAATTAGGCAGCCGTGTTATTTATTTGGTTATTTATAGGTGTTGTGAAACCCGATTTCAATTTATTTTGAAATATTGTGAATACCACAAATATTGCCTGCGGTATGCGATATGCGGCATGCAACCAACTCCGTGTGGTGCACACATGTGCAGAAACACGTGTTGCCTGGATTAAATGTAAATAGAATGCAATTTTGTCAGCCGCACCACCAGGATACTAGCTGGAGCCGCTGCTATTGTTCACTCGCCTCGCCTGCGTCTAGGAAGAGAACACGCCCACTCTGCAAGCGGTCGGCGGTTACGCCCCCAAGCGTATGGGCTCACTAGTTCTGGAAGTTGCAGTCGCTGCAGTCGCAGAAGTTGCAGTTGCAGTTGCGGAGTCGCATCGTAAACTCAGCACGTAAATTATGATCAGCCAACGGCGGTGAATATTAATTGCACCGCACCAAAATGAACAAAGGCCGCCACAGCAGCAACAGCAACAACAGCAGCAACAGCAGCAAGGGGCACATTCCAGCTAGATGATGCCACATGTACACAGCTCCAGCTCCATACTTGGTGGCTAGCTCATGTGTGCGCGCGCATCTGTAACGGTGCCTTTGATAAGCGTCGATAATTATTGACCAGCCACTGGAGCCGGCTGCAGCTCTTTGCTGTTCGCTCAGTTAGAGCCTTAATTAATTTCCAGGAAGCTTTGATCGCATCGTGGCCCATGGTAGTGCCTGAATCTGTCTGTCTGGCGGGAGCATTCGTTTTCGCCGATTGTCGCCGGTCATCACTCAGCTGGAGCCGCCTGGAATCGCCTCCTATGTCAGTGTCAACACAGCAACGACCCCCGTTGCTCATTTCTGTCTTGCTGTTTGATGTATTGTCGCCGGCCAAATGTAACCAACAGCAACAACAGCAACAGCAGACAAGGTGTGGTCCACAACAGGTTCAGGTTTAATTCCATGCCCAGGTCCTTTGAGCGCTGTCATAGTTGTTTGCTTCTAACTTGAAATATTTGTTGCGGATGCGCCAGCAATATGGTCGTCCCTTGACTGAGTGGCAGTGAGTGGTAGCAACAGCAGCAGCAACTGCCAAATTGTGCCTTAAATTGTTGACTCAAAAACAACAGCAGCAGCAGCAACAGCAACAACAACTGCGTTTTGAGACCTACAATGTGGTTTGGGGCCTGGCATTTTGTCCTGCGGCCACCAGAGCAGAGAATGCACAAACCAAAAAAAAAAAAAAACCTGAAAACTGTTTGCTGTATTTATCATGGCCGACAAAGCGGCGCAAATCTTTCAGAAACGAAATCACAAGGCTATCAAGAGCTACCAGCTCCGGCAACAACAAGGCAAACAATAATAAAAATGCCAGCCACAGTTGGTGGCTAAAACACGCCAAAAACAAAACACAAGTCCACAGAAATTGTCTAAAGAAACAACAAAATCAAAAAGCCCGGAAGCAAGTTGAAAAAAGTTCAGCTTATTGAATTCTTGGTTCGATCTGTTCGAAACAGTTGGCGTGCACATTGTTTGAATCTAGAACAGCGGCTTTATTGTAAAACAGTGTTTGCTATAAGTCTACGCACACTCAAAAGAATCAAAAATGCCAAGCTAGCGTAATGTGTTATTAAACTATTTCAAGCTTTTTGATGAGGAACTCAAGAATATTTTCACTACTTCAAAGTACATTTTCTGTCTTTTCATTTAATTTACCTGTCTATACACTGCCAACAGTGACTGTGACAACAATCTTGAGCCAAACACCAACTTGAGTAATTAGGCACGATTTTAAGAATAATTACCACCTGGTCGCCAGGCCCACATGTTGCGACAACAAATTGCCGCCGTTTTTTATGGTGGGTCGATTGGAAGTGTGATTTTGTTTTTGCTATTTTCAAAATTTTAAATCGTAACACCCTCGAGCGTATCATAAGCAACCAAAACTCGTAGTTCGGAAGCAAATTATGCGGCAAATAATAAATAATTTGAGCTCATAAAATGCAATAAAAAGCCGCTTACAACGCTGCGATTTATTTCACAAGATAATTTTAAACTAATTTGGTAGCATTTAGTCCGAGAATTATCGCCCAACACTCGACCAAATGGCGGCCTGCGCTGCGGGAACCACAGCTGACTAATGGCATTGAAAACTGCATAAATTGCCGCAGTCATGTGCCACGCCCAACTCAAATCAGTCAAACGACAACCACCAGTAAATAATATATGCACAAAAATGGCGAAAATGTAGGAGACTTAACAACTTGAATCATATAACAACGAAATACGGATTCAAAGCGAGTCGCAATATCCTAAGGGCTTCAATAACATGAAAGAATATGTCAGATATAGTACTATAAATGGATAATAAGTGTGTATACAGATACTGCTTGATATGACATCTGAAACATGTGCTGTAATCGAGCTGCATTTCATGGTAGGGAACGCCCTATTTTGTTAAGTTACGCCCATCTGTCAATCTGAAAAAATGTAGCAATATCTGTGAACTGTTATGGCAAGGACTTTTTCGTTTTAAACCAAAACAAAGGCTCTCCGAGAAATTTATCTAATGGTATGAGTAGGTTGAGAACGATTGCATATGGAAGAATAGCAAATTGAAATATAGTTTTTTTCTTTTGAATTAGTAAAGCAACCGCGACAAGCTGATATATAAAGGGTCTACATCAATTCAGCCCTTGCAGTTTTAGTTAAAGCTTCATTCGATTACTAAGGAATCTTCTAAAGTAAAATCTAAGCCAGCATGATATTCAAGAATATAAGAGATCCAGCAATTGGGGATTTACTTCCATCTCGAGTTGCCTTCGCGCATTTAGAAAGGGTCATGAAATTTGCAGGCTGGATTCCGCCACTGAATGGCACTCGCTTTTACTGGTTATATCGCGCTTGGAGTGTACTTGCAACAACATTAAGCGGAATCTATGTCCCCTTTGGATTCTTTGCAAGCTATATAATTAATTTTAGCAGCTTTACTCCGGGAGATTTTCTAACTTCAGTACAGGTCGCTTTCAATGCGGCTTGCCTATTTGTGAAGATCGTGATACTGATACCAAATGTGTGGCGTTTTCAGAAGGTAAAAGATCAGCTCGACATAATGGATAAACGATTAGTTCTAGAGGGAGAAGCCATTGAAATACATCGTTGCGTCATTCGTTGCAATTCTGTTTATATGGTATATCAAACAACATACGCTTCGTACGCCTTATTGACCTATCTTAGCTCTGTTTTGACTGGATCAACACCTTGGGGAATTTACATTCCCTTTGTGGACTACCGCTCAAGTACACACAGCTTGTGGTTGGCTGCTACCTTTGAACTTATTGTCGGATCCGGGGCAATCCTATTAGACCTATTGGTAGACATATATCCGGTGATTTTTGGCATACTCCTGAGAACCCATATTCAACTTTTAATGCAGCGTGTAGCAAGATTGCGTGAATTTACTAGTAAAACCGAGGCTGAGACCTATGAGGAGCTGGTTAACTGTGTCAAAGTACACAAAAATATTCTGCAGTATGTAAAGAAAACTCGTAAAAGCTCAAATGAAAATAATTTTGATTTCAGGTATTCTGACATTCTGCGACCAGTCATATCAGGCACCATATTTGCCCAATTTCTGGCCATTGGCCTGTGTCTGGGCCTATCAATGGCTAACTTATTGTTCTTTTCGAACATCTGGACCGGGTTGGCTACATTTGTATTTATTTTCGTGCTGATTATCCAAACTTTTCCCTTTTGTTTCATCTGCGAGCTAGTTGAGGACGATTGCATTGGCTTGACCAATGCAATATTTCATTCCAATTGGATAGGTGCAAGTAAACGGTATAAGACAACTCTGATCTACTTTCTACAGCAAACTCAGCGGACGATTACCTTTATTGCTGGAGGTATCTTTCCGATCTGCATGAAAACTAACATTGAGGTAAGACATAATATCGCTAGAAAGAAAACTGTGACAGTAATTGGTTGTATTTTCCTTTCACAGATGGCCAAGTTGGCATTTACTGTGGTAACTGTCGTTAAGCAAATGAATTTTATTGAAAAACTTAAGTAAAGTTAATTTATTTCTATTTTTCCACATAATGCTTCACTTAAATTTGCTCTGAACAACTTTTTCGAATCAAGAAAACTACGGCACTTTAAAAAGAATAAATAAATAATCTTAGGTGAATTTATAACAATGCAAGCCAAGGCACCAGTTTTCTAGTCATAGAGCTGTTTTTTAATACACTTTTTAACTATAAAGACCAAGATAGAACATTTATTACTAGAGGATTGAGACGGACAGAAATCTGGACTATGATTAGCTAGGAAAAATTCGAGGCGATCCCTAATCGCGCATTTGCCAATTGGAGTAGAATCTATTGGCAATCTTTGGTCTTAAAATTTGTCCACAAGCGGATTGCAGTACAGCTTGTTGTAGTCTTCGATCTTTTGAGTGTTGAGTCGTTTCGAATGACTCATGGTGATGGGTTTTGCATTGAATAGTAGTTGGCCTCAGTTTTCCTGTCGAGTTCTTTCATTGGGAATTGCTTTGGTCGCTGAAAATTGCGTATACGCAGCGGCTGCCAAGTGGAAAGCTCTTAACAGCTGCAACAACTATCCAGCTTTCAGCTAGGAATAAGTGTTGCTTGTTAAATGACATCGTTTTTCATTTGTACAGCATTTTATATGTACACATTATGTGTGGAAGACCGATTCATGTGGCAGCCGAGTAACCGACTAAAAGTACTACAGGAAATTGAATGTTAAGACCGACACGTATAAAATGAATGCAGCATTTGGTACAAACTCACACATTGAAACACTGATTGTGGGTTACAGATACAGAAATATACACGCACGCACACATATATGCTGCATAAATCTATCTTAGAGATTTATGGCGCACCAGAGCAACGTTAATAAGCAAATGAGAGGGAATGAGAATGGGGCAAGTATATATATACATAAGTGTGTGTGTCTGTATGTGAGTAGACCAACAGAATGGCTAACAGAACGGCATACGTATGGCCAACTTGTGAAATGGTAATAAAACTTTTTATGCGCATTTATAGACGTTTTTATGCCTGCGACCAGGTTGTCTTCAAAATGAATTATGAAATATTTGGGCAATGTTAAATGCGAATCGAGTAAAGCAACTCTCACCGGCTGGCATTAATCATGGCCAAGTCGGTAAAAGGACATGGCCAAAGCTATCTGCACATAGATAAATAAATAACCGCAACTCAAAAAACCTGTGGCCAGGGCCATAAAATTGAGTTATTAAAATAAACACCGACAGGTGCAGAGTCGACGAGCGACAGCAAGAGAGAGAGTTTAGCAAAAGGTTAAGCTATTGGCCAAATAGCAATCAGCGCGTTTTCTGCTAGAAAATGCAGGTCACTTGCGGACTGTTCGTATTTTCATAGCAGCGAACAAATATTACCAATGTTTACATATATGGCACAAAAGCGTGCCAAGTGGAGCAGTGGAGCAGCAGCAACAATGGTGAATTAGTTAGCTGACATGCAAGAGAGCGCGAAATTGCAACAGAAAAACAATTACAGCTGCCAGCTGAACGTTGCCCCAATTACGAATGCACATCAAGAAGAAGTGGCACTTGGCCTGGTCCAGACCCAACCATCTGTTTGGGGTAGCCAGGCGTCTATCTAGCGCTCTCTCGCTTGTTGCCATGCCTTGTCGAATATCTTTCGCACAAATGTTGAGAAAGCGCGATAACATTTTAACACACAACGCAAATTTCATTCAGACACAAACTCACACAGACGCATACTAATACATGCTGGCATGTTGCAGCCAGGCTGCTGAGTTCTCATGTGCTTCATGCGCTGAAGGCTTTATCAAAAACAACAACAACACATGGCAGCTGCTGCTGGGCAAAAGCACAATATGACCCTTTGGTGTGCACTATTGGGATAAGATATACGAAATGAAATTCCAGTTCATTTCGGCAGCCTGATAAAGCCCTTAAGTGCTATTGTTGATAGCACTTGCATCTGTTAGCGAAAAGTGGCCGCTGTTAAAGCACTCCATATGAACTAGCTGCCAAATCAATTGCCAGGCTTTCCACATTGAACCAACAACCTACCATAACTATCGTCACATGTGAAAGACAGCGCATCCTTAACTGGCGACTTGCCAAGACATCTACATAGAAATCCATATGAGAGAAAAACCTTTGGAGCCACGGACGGGTTGACCCATTTTTAACATTTGACTGCGCCACAGTGCCAATAAATTAGCATATAAGAGCAGACAGGTAAGGGGCCAAAAAAAATATAAATAAGAGAATAAAAAGAGAAGGCGGAAACATAAAATCTGCACATAAAAGGATTTTGCCACAAATAAAAACATAAACAGGCACAAGTTAACAGAGTGCGACTATGAAAAGCCCTGCCTTATATAAATTTGGCTATTTGAAATTATCAGTTGAATAACATCCTGAAAGTAGGCCACATTTTTTGAGCTCATATATTTTCTATTAAATATTCCAAAATATTTTTCTTAGAAATTTAAAGGCAAATTGCATTTTCACATAATTTTACTTATGAATCTTTAATGTTATCATAACTTGTTCTGATAGTATCTCGAAGCTTTTCCAGCTGCTTCACTCCGCGCACAGTCAGCAAATAATCATTCGGTTACACTCTTTACAGCTGTAGGGTATAAAAATGTAAAATTTATTTAATTCGAAATATTCGTGCTGTGTTTTTGTGTGCCTTTTTATGATGCATATACAATTTGCCAAAAGGATTTGCTTGTGGAAAATCCACAATGCATGCATACAAAATACGGCAGACGCAAAAAACAACAGCAGGATGCTGCCAGCTTTGGTAAGCCGAATACAAAATACCCTTGGCACATGAACCTATAAGGATAAGGAAAATAATGGGTATAGAATGCGGACAATTTAGAAAAAGAAACATATATTTGTCCTGATATTCAATACACAGAATATTTTATTGATTGGCAGTTGTCTAATTAATCTGTGCTTTACCTATGACTCCCATTCATAGGGTATGAAAAGTGTACCCTAATTTGAGTATGCAGCAAAATCAACTGAGCACACAATCAAACACACACATCGTGGAAAAGTAAAAAAGTAAGTAAAAACACAACCAGTCAACGAACAGCGAAATTTACAAATAACTTAACAATTTGCTTTTGGCCCTGTTGACGTGGCCCAAAGGGGCCAAGGGTGAAGGGCGAGCATGCGAAGTCATCACGACGATGACGACAACAACAATAACAACAATAACAACAACAACAACAACAATATCAGGAACAACATCATCGAGCAGCAACTGCTGGTGAAAGTTAAGGCCAATCATTGCAACAATGCCAAGCCAGTGACAACAACAATTGCTAACAGAGACATGAATTTCAATACGAAATATGTATGTATGTAGTTGCCCCATGTGGCAGCAATCCGATGATGAGGATCATATCGGAAGATCCAGCTTGATCCAGCTAAAAGAAAAAACAGATTCAAAATTCACATGATACGCAGACTTCAAGTCAATCTTCAGCCTCAGAGAAACGAAATCTTGTCTTGTTGCAGTTTGGTAATGCTAATTTTTGACATTCTCTGAATGTATGATCAATATGCCATATTGGGACTGCGACCTGTAATGGACTACAGACTCGACTCGAGAGCCAAATTTAAATTACAGAAGCATAGCTAGTTTAACAAAAACAAAGCTATCTTATCATATCTCATAGAGAGAAACGTTTCCACTGATCTCTTATATGTCCGTCATTAAAAGAACCACACAATTTGTTTTTCCTTATTTTGCCCGCGCACATATATAATTACAAACCTGGATTTTTTTATTTGTTTTTACAATATGGTACGAAGTTTGGCAACTGGCAGAAGGAGAATGAAATCTTGATATATTCTTGAATATCACCTACAAACTAACTTTGCCCATTTGTTCATATATTAATAATTTACGTGTGACAAATAAAAAAAATATGCCCGCTTTCGAATTAACAGATTTATTATTAATATTGTTATTATTATTATTATTATTATTATTATTATTATTATTATTATTATTATTATTATTATTATTATTATTATTATTATTAATATTGTTATTATTATTAATATTATTATTATTAGTTTAATTGTTATTATTATTTTTTTTATTAATTCTTTTAATATTATTATTAGAATTTTTTTGTTAATTAAGTTTTAAAACTGCTTACAGGGTATCTCGTAGCCGAAAGAAACTTATCCACTCGAGAATTCTTGTTCATCTTTTGTGGATTTTCTCATCCGCTCCTATCTCTCAATCCATCGCCCATTTTCGACTTGAACTCGTCATAAATTTTAATACACATTTTGGTTTGCAAATTGCTCAAAAGATGCATTTCTCGCGGTCTACGTCTTTCTCTGTCCCTCTTCCTCGCTCTTATTTTCCCTCTCATTATATCTCTGTCTCTCTTCTTTTCTCTGTCTGTCTCTGTCGGGTGCTGCTCGCCTGTTGTCCTTTTGCAGCAGCAGCAACCACAACAGCAGCGACAACTGTGACGAGCCCGTCAACTTTTGATTGACTGGCTAAGTTCAACTGATGTGGCTCTTGGGTCTTAGCTCTTGTCTCCTTCCCTTGGACCGCTCCACGCATTGGCATAGAACGGCAGCAAATTGCATAATTTTTACATAAATATGCTGACGTGCATTCATAATCATAAAAAGGGTTAAAATTCTTTGTTTTCTTGTTGGCTTTTGTTTGGGCTCCGCCTGCCTCTCGGCAAGCGCTGGCGAGTACTCGTATTTTGTTGGACTGTTATTTATTTGGCCTCATGCCTGCATATATATATTTTTTAATATGCAGCCTAATAGGCATTCCCTTGGATTTTTTTCCTTTTTTTTTACTCCATTCCCGTGCCCGAATTGACAAAATGTATGCAAAGTTAAAACAGCAACAGAAGGGCAACAGCATAGTGCATAAAATATTTATGATATCGAATTGTATTGGCATTATTTTCAGCTTCAATGCCAGCTTATAAGTCGACAACTAATGTCCATGAATTACGAATGCGTGCAAATTCAGACATTT